CCCCCCCCTCTTGACCTAGAAATTATGCCTTCAACATTTTACAAATTTTTCCTAAAAACTCAATTAGTTAAGTTTAGAGGCCACACACTGTGACACTAGGGTCTGTGTTCAATCTGCTCAAAAGCTTTTTTTTGACACTTCAAAAGTTTTTCATGTTGTTTTAAAATTTGAGAACATAAAGCAAAATTCTTCCATGAATTACAAAGACCCAAAACATCTTAGTGAGACCTCAAATGACTCGTAGGAAGGTTTATGAACGGTCTTCGTAAAACTATGATTTCGAGTCCATGTCTTTTAGAAAACTGAAACATCTGCTATATCAGAAAATGATACAAAAACAAAATGTTCCAAAAATTATCAGAAATTACAAAGATTGACGCGAAGCAAGCATACGTTTTCTGGCGATAAAAAATATTACTTCTTTGATGTTTTTTAATTATTGTAGATATTTAAAATCTTTTTTTTGTAAAAACTTTTTTTCATTGATGAATTATGTGTTCTAGTAAATGGACGCATAACCAGGTTGCGTAATTTTAAATAATTTGTAATCACTGCTAGATTATTTTACACATGGTTTAAGGGTCCGTCCTAGAGAACGATTTTTGGACCCCCCCCCTTTTATATATATATTTTTCTATAAATAATACATATTATAAGGATAAATATATGTTTATTAAAGGGACTGTACGCGTGAATGTATGTGACCCTTCATACAAATATGACAATGTCCGATTCACAACGATACCCTTGAAACCTTTATCTGATCAATAATGTGTAAGATATATTAAGTTATTTTATTTTGGTGTTTAAAAGTGTTTATTTTTGATCATTCCTTTCTTTTCATCACTTCAGTAGAGAAACCACAATTGAAAACAATCATTTTTTGAAAATTAAAAACATGATATCTAATTTACACTTGCTCATACAAAGCTTTAGGGATCTTTGGATAGGGTTGTGAATCTGATTTTGCCATCTTTGCGCACATAAAGGTTCAATCAAAATTAAGGTTACATTATATACATTCCCTTTAAATAATTTAAAATTAAACATCAAACAGTGACAAGTTACAATGCTAAAAGAAGATTAAAATTATTAAAAGAAAAATTCATGATACATTAAACACAGTTGAAAAGATTTCTTGGAGGGGACGAGTGGGCACTGCCCCTTTATAAAGCCCCTAAAAATTATATGTATAGAATAAATTACTGTTAAATATAAAATTACATGTTAAAAATAAAATGAAATGATTTACTGGTGAATTATTATTAACCTCTAGTTTATTGGTTTGTTTCAGCATCAAAAAAACACAAAAGTTTAGTTTTGTCGGAAAACTTGAATGAACCCCCATTTTCAACTTTTTATCTTTAGATTTTAATCGTAATTCTCTCAGGAACAGCAAATCCCTGAAGCAAAATATTAATCAAAATTTTAAAAACATAATTAAATGTACAATTGTACAACTGTATGACACTGTACCACTACCGTTTGACTGTTCCACTGTACAACTTAAAAACTGTATAACTGTAAAACTGTACAACTGTACAATTGTACAATTGTACAATTGTACAATTGTACAATTGTATACAATTGTACAACTGTACAACCGTACAACTGTATAAATGTACAACTATACAACCTTACAACCGTACACGCGTACAACCGTACAACTAAACAACTGTACAACTGTACAACTGTAAAACTGTACAACTGTAAAACTGTACAACTGTACAACTGTACAACCGTACAACTGTACAACTGCAAAACTGTACAACTGTACAATTGTACAACTGTTTAACTTTACAACTGTACAACTGTACAACTTTGCAACTGTAAAACTGTACAACTGTACAATTGTACAACTGTACAACTTTACAACTGTATAACTGTACAACTGTACAACAGTACAACTGCACAACTGTACAACTTTACAACTGTATAACTGTACAACTGTACAACTGTACAACTGTAAAACTGTACAACTGTACAACTGTATAACTGTACAAATGTACAACTATACAACTGTACAACCGTAAAAATTTAAAGTGTACAACTGTATCATTGTAGAACTGTAAGCTTTACAATTGACCATTTGTACTATTGACCAACTGTACTATTGCACAACTACAAAGTGCACTTCACAATCGCAGTAATAGCCTAGATATTTTTTAAATTGTACACACTGTACACATTACGTCGCAGTATTTATTAAAATGTATTGTATCTGCTGATTTACAGATGTAAATTTTTAAAAAAAATGTCTCCAGCAATTTTAACTGTGAAAGAATATCCGTAAAAAGCAAATTGGAAAAAAATGTCGAATATTTTCAAGGCTGGCGATTATTCAGAGTCTTAAATTACTAAATTCTTTAAGATTTATGAGGAGCAGACAGGATAGACAGGATAGACAGGATAGACAAGATAGACAAGATAGACAGGATAGACAGGATAATAGACAAGATAGACTGGATAGACTGAATAGACAGGATAGACAGGATAGACAGGATAGACAGGATAGACAGGATAGCCAGGATAGACAAGATAGACAGGATAGACAGGATAGACAGGATAGACAGGATCGTTAGAAAGGATCGTTAGACAGGAAAGACAGGATAGACAGGATAGACAGGATAGACAGGATAGACAGGATAGACAGGATAGACAGGATAGACAGGATAGAGACAGTATATTCACCTGAAACTCTATATCCTTGATCATATTCACAACTTTCCTAAGTGCTTCTCCATCCAGCGAATGACCATCCTTTGAAATAATCATTAATCAATTCATAAATTTTATTCTTTACTAAAGAAAAAAATAACGATTTTTTAAAACTTAGTTCATAAGAAAAGGTCGAATTTTCAATTTTCTAAAGACATTTTAATATAACTATCAAAAGCTGCACCTTGGATAACTGAATACCGTCCATTTTGTCCATTTTGCTTATAATTTAGTTAATTTTTAACAATCAAAATCGTCTTTGAGATTTCATCCTGAAGTTTACTGTACAATTACTATCTTACACATTTAATGAATAATTTGTTCTATATAATTTTTCAAATAAAATCTTAAATTACCAAAAAATGAATGTTTCTAATTTCATGGGTTAACATGTAGAAATGTGAAATAAATTGAAATTAAATTCATGAATTTTTTATAAATTTAAAGATAACAAATTAACACCTCCTAATTTTTCAAGAGCCTTGAATTTTTATAAAATTTATCAAATACGTTTAGTTTCACATTTATTTTTTTAATTGTTAAGCTTTACAGCTTTACAAAATCAGATTTATTTTTGCAATATGATTCGTAATTCTTTGCTTAGTTTAAAGATTTTCAAGTTTCAAAAATATGAAATAAAGAAAGTTTAAAACATAAAACATCCATCAAGCCGAAATAAAAAATAGGTTATTTTTTTTTCAAATATTTAGAAAAAAGTTTTAATTGATTTTAAAATCCTCATTTTTCAAACACCACAAATTATAGACATATTCTAGAGAAAAAATAAAATCCATTTCATATTTTTTTTTATATTTACCTCTGGCATTATTTTCCATCCCTTTCTTGATCTTAGTGCTCTTTTAATGCTGAAAGCTACTTCCTGTAAACATATTTAAACATATTTAAACATATTTAAACATATTTAAACAAATTTAAACATATTTAAACATATTTAAACATATTTAAACATATTTAAACATATTTAAACATATTTAAACATATTTAAACATATTTAAACATATTTAAACGATTATAAAATTTCAAAATAAGGTCGGAACTTATGAACAAACGGTGCTAATCTACATTGCCTGATCTCTACATCTACGGAAGGAACGTTGAATTTGTAAAAACAGCTTTTTAAGTTGGCATTTTTATCGTTCTCTGCAATGAGCTAAATTTTTCGCTTATTTCCTTTCCCTGGGGTTATGTCAGTTGCCATACAAAGTTAATGGGCCCGATCCCTACATCTGTTTTGGACCCGATCCGTACAGTGGTTTTGGGCCCAATCCGTACAGCGGTTTTGGGCCCAATCCGTACAGCGGTTTTGGGCCCGATCCGTACAGTGGTTTTTGGCCCAATCCATACAGTTATTTTGGGCCGATTGGTACAATGGTTTTGAGCCCAATCCGTAAAGCGGTTTTGGACCTGATCTGTACAGCAATTTTTGACCCAATCCGTACAGCTATTTTGGGCCCGATCAGTACAGCGGTTTTGGGCCCAATCCGTAAAGCGGTTTTGGACCTGATCTGTACAGCAATTTTTGACCCAATCCGTACAGCTATTTTGGGCCCGATCTGTACAGCTGTGTTGACGTGTATTGAACACAAAGAAACAGATAAACGCCCAAAATATGTAAAAACATGTTTGATTTCAAATTTTACCTGTGATTTATTGATTGGAATGTTAACAACAGGTTCTTCAGGTTCAGGACTGACGCATCTAAATAAGTAATTTCAAATTAATTCAATATGAACATGTAATATATTTTTTTGGAAGCACCCATGATTCTACAATAATAACATCTTCTAAAAGTTCAAAATTGATATCATTATAGCTAGAAACAATATAGACTTTTGCCGCAAACTCTAATTTTCTAAACCTATGTCTTTGCAACCCAATGCCGTAGATTTCCAAATATGAAATCTGTTAGATCAATGCATAATATTTGTCATAATTTTTTTTTGATTTTATAAATTTATATTTAGAAGTGACAGTGTAGGCATATTTTTTCCGTGGACCAGTTTTATTAGTGCAATAGCAAAGTTAGTGTCACATTTTTTTCAAATAAAGAATGAAATTGTATTATTTTTGCAATATTTTGTTCCAAATTTGATTTTTATGAGATTCGTACATAACTTTTTTGACCACATTATCAGTAAGTAATCAAATTTAAAAAGTTACAACAATTACTCAGAACAAGAGTTTAAAAGTTCTCTAAAAATTATGCTGTGCATCTAAATCAAACTTAAATTTGCGTTTTAGTAAAATTAATCTTAGTCTTTAGAATTCAAACTTAACCCTAAGCTCAAGTCTAAATTTAGTCTTGATAACAGCTAGAATCTTGAGTATTCTTTCATACAATTTTTAAAAAACGCAGGTTGAGGAGGATAAGACTCCGTATTGGGGCTAAATTCCCAGAGCCCTCGGGAAAAGACTAAGGTTTAAGCTGTCATTAAGACTAGTTAAAGAATTTAGCTTTCGGATTCAATATGAAATTCATTTTCCACGGAGTTGGGTTTATGAAACCGGTTTATCAATGTATTTAGCAGATTTTGATGGTTGGATTTGGTGGATTCGATCGAGGGATTTGATTAGAATAAAACTCAACATTGAGACTTACTCTTAAACCTGGGTCTCCTTAATCAAGATTTGAGTAGAAGCTTTTAAATCGCGGGCTCTGGAAAACATATTTTTCATTTCCCTCTCATCTCTCCTGTATACGCCCCTGGATTATGCTTAATCGCGGGCTCTGGAAAACATATTTTTCATTTCCCTCTCATCTCTCCTGTATACGCCCCTGGATTATGCTTACATCTCACTCCCCTCTCTCCTGTATACGCCCCTGGTGTGGCTGGGGTAGATAGAGGAGAGAGTTCAGCAATATCCCAGAATTCCAACCTGGAAAAAATCCAAAATTATCAAACAACTTTTTTTCTAAAAGATTTTAAGTCGTGCTAAATGTGAATTATAACATTTACAAATAGTAATTTTTTTAAATTTCACCTTACTCAGATATTTCTTTTCACAAAAAAACAACGACATAAGGTATTTAATGGTTCTTTGCAAATTGATGTAGTGAGGATTGTCAAAGATTTTTGTTTTGCTTTTTAACATCATTTTATAACAAATGTAAATTTGATTAATTTAATTCGATCCCTAAATTTCATTCAAAATTCACCCTTTGACAAAATATCGGATACTGATAAAGATCAGAATCCGAAATTTTACACCTATGTATTTCTGAAATCTTAAGAATTGTATAAATATTTTAGCAGTTTTATTCATGTAACTATTGAAAATAACTTCACTGTGATGTGCTTATACAGGACTATTGAAGTGCCCAGCGTTGCCCGTGGAATTAAAAAAAAAATTTGGAATTATTTATTCAAAAATTGGATATTTTCGCCCTTATCCCCCCAGATCGAATATTTTGATCGAAGAGCTTCATTATATAGATAGAGTATATCTAATCATGAAACCCGGATATATTATACCTGATATCCGGATATAGTATACCTGATATCCGGGTATAGTATACCTGATATCCGGATTAGATCCTGTAGTTGGAGCAGTGTCAAGATCTGATGAACCATCCAGTGCCCGGACAGGGGTGGATCTAATACCAACAATACAAAATAGATGTCAAAATTTGTTCAATATGATTTTTTTTATTTTGGTTGGGTGGTTTCGGTGGTTTTGGTGGTGGGGTGAGGTGGTGGTGATGGTGGTGGTGTTGGTGGTGGTGGTGTCTTGTTCTTACTGTATATTGTTAAACTAAAACATTGCTATTCTGTATTCCTGTTTGAACCGGGTGGAGTCCAGTAGTCCCGCCCTAGCAGGAAGTTTCCCTCCTTTTCCCCTTTACCTTTACCCAGCAAACCAATCTTTGGCGGAGCCTTCACTGTAATTAGTTAATTATTGGTTTACCTTGAAAAATATTAATATACAGTCTACAGAGCGTCCCATACCATATCGGATTTTCACCAAGCTTCAAAGCCAATATACGCACATAATACTCGAAAAAATAGTATTTTCATCATGCACATTTTTTATTTAGCCTTACACCTTTTTTAAAATGATTCAGTCTTTTAAATCTTTTGGTTTGTCCCGAAAATTGGAATTAAGAGCTACAAGTGATCTATTATGATGAGGGATGCACTCTGTAGAGTAACCAATCCTTTAAAGATTGCTATGTCCGATTTACAACAGTGCCCTTTAAATGTTAATCTCTAAGCAACAATAAGAAACATATCGTTAAGTTTAGTTAACCCCTTAATTGTAAATTATCAATTTTCTGACATAAAATCAAGAATATCTTCAAATTCTTTCTGCTGAGACAAAATGTTCCTGGGTACCGTTGGGAATCGATAATGCCCCTCTATAAATTTTGCAGACGCCGAATTCAAAGAATTTGAGTCGCGGCATAAATCTGAGACACGGCTCAAATATGGTTGGTTCACTTAAAATTGTATTCAATGTTTCAAGGCGCTTAATTGAATCTAGTTTTTGGCGGATTTGAGACGCGGCTCAAATTCATTAAATTCGGACTCAGGTCACTTGAAATTACGTTTGCCGTGTCATTCATCTTTATAAAATGCCAAAGTCATAGATTAATTAAAATAACAGATAGAACACTAGATGTCGTCTTTTCAACATTTGGATGAAGCTCGTTTACGATAACCCTGAGACAGAAGCCCAGAGGAGTTTCGCGCGGTCGGCGTAGAATAAAAAAGACAGTGAGGGCCTGTTCTCACCAACTGGGCTTCTGCCTCAGCTGGTTGTTGTAAACGAGTTTCATCCAAATGTTCAAAAGACGACATCTATTGTCCTATCTGTTATTTTAATTAATCTATGGCTTTGTAATTCATTTTTCCTAAATGCCAAAGTCAACAAGTAAAGGAGTTTGACACGCGGAGCTTAGAAAATGCATATTTATAAATGTTGTTAAATACGTTTTCATTTTTCCCTTGTCACAGTAAAGAGGGGGAGGGAGGGGGGGGGGTCAAAAGATGTGAAAACTTTTTAATATAAATTTAAAAGAGTTAAAGTCATTTTCTTTCGAAAGTTTAACTTAAATTGCTCATGGGGTCATTTATTGATAATTTTATAACTTTTTTCTTTTTTAAAAATTATTTCCTGTAAGAAAACTATGAATATTAATGGTTTGTTAAATATTTTTAAATTTTCAAATTATTTTTTCTTTAATTCAGATTAAAAACACTATCGATAAGTATAAATTAAATATTCATTTTTTTGTGGTTAAAAAACTGATCATTTTTATTCATGGGATATCTAAACAATAAAAAACCAATTTATCTTCAAATCATTGATAAGATCAAGGTTTCCAGGGTACCAAAGTGAATCGGACATGCCTTTTTTTTACTTAATTCAAAATTAAAAACACAGGAATTTCAAGTAGAAAATGTACCTCCATCTGGAGCATGAAGAGTATTTTTCTTTTCAATCTTTGTTGCTGAAAGTCGTCTTTTCTGGTTTTTTATTGCACTCCGGAAACTTTCATCGCGTTGAATATCAGCCATTCTTGGACAAATCTAAAATCTAAAATAGTCCCTTTCTTAAAATAAAAATGTAGAGATCTTGCTTTTTAAACCGCGTGAGTGTGACACATTACTGAGGATCAAGTAACAATGTGCATAAGCATTATTAAATGTTCCAGTTCTTAAAAAATAAAGCAAAAGGTCTGTTTTCTGTTTTGATAAATATTTCATATATACTTAGAAAGTAGGAATGCATATTCAGTATCGAACACTTTCATTGTCTTTCCATTGTTATGTAGTGTTAAGTACAGTGCTATGTACAGTATTATGCACAATGTTATGTACAGTGTTATGTACAGTATTATGTACAGGGTTATGTACAGTGTTATGTACAGTGTTTTGTACAGTGTTATGCACAGTGTTATGTACAGTGTTATGTACAGTGTTATGTAAAGTGTATGTACAGTGTTATGTACAGTGTTATGTACACCCTTATGTACAGTGTCATGTACTTTATTATGTACAGTGTTATGCACAGTGTTATGTACAGTGTTATGTACAGTATTATGTACAGTGTTATGTACAGTGTTATGTACAGTGTTATGTACTTTATTATGTACAGTGTTATGTACAGTGTTATGTACTTTATTATGTACAGTGTTATGTACAGTGGGACTCAAAAACTGTGGAAAAGGCAAACGACATTTTAAAAATCTGGGATATATTTGATGTTAAGTAAATAGGTCTACCCTGCGGCTATAAAAATTAACTTAATAAGTGAAATGAGTCTTACTAAATTTCACACTTTTCTTGTTTCATACTAATTATGCTTAAGCTTAACCCATGGGGACATCGTCGATTTTAAAAAAGGTTGTAGCTCGACATAGGTTCTATACTATTATACCTTAATCTCAGTAATGAAAAAGAATACCCATGTAAAATGCGGAAACAGTTTTAATTCCAAAGTTTTTTGAATCTCACTGTACAGAATTTAAAGTATGCTCTTGCTTTCCTTGTCCTGCCTAAACTAAGATCTGTCTGAATATACATTGAGGGGTCAGCCTACTCAAGCTACCTGTAAACAGCAACACAGAAGGGTCAGCTCATACCGGGCCCAATATAAGCTATCCGATGTTTTTGACAATAGAGGTAAAGTATTTTAGAGCATACAGCCCTCCACCCCATATTAACCAACTCCTTCCGCCATTTCCGCCTTAGGTAGCTGGAACCCCCTCCTTTAGATTTGATGTTGCGTTTTTATTACATAAGTGAATGTACATTTCGTTGCTTAGACCCTGAAGATAGATAGATAAAATAAAAATAATTTAATATAACATATTTATGATTCAGATTTACTCAACTGAATATGAACATTTATTCTTCTGTTTGTTAAACATTTTTCAAAAACAATTTAGAGTTGCTAACCTTAAATATACCAAATAGGATCTTAAGCTTTGCCACAAACTGTGATTGTATAATCTTTATATCTTTTTAACCCAAAAGTAGCAGACCTTAGAAATTATGAATTATTCTATTAGATCAAAAAATCTGAGATGAAAATATCAAAAGTAAACACCATCAGGTTGCAACGATATAGGGGTACGAAAATTTGAGTTTGTGGCAAAAGCTCAATTTCTTTAATCACATAACATTTGAACTTAGTGTTCAGAAAAAAATTAATCAAACGTTCATTAAAACTTTTGGTTCCTTGAAACTCTGTTTTTACAATGTATTGTTCTGAAAGATTTGTAAACAAAAGAAAAATCGAAATTTTGTTTATGTATTATTTTTTCAACACTTTCGAAAGTGGATATTTTTAAAGTGTAATTGGGTTTACATCTGTCCTCACAGATATTACATTAGACTCACCGTAAAAACAATAGCTGGGCAAACGGGCAACATTCTAAGCAAAAATTCGGTGATGGTGATGGACCAAACCTCTGTAAAGTAAAAAAAAAGAAGATGTTAGTTCAACATTTTTTGAAAATATATTTCGGTCTGGTTTGACCCTTGTCAGTTCTAACGATATAATAACAATCAAAATCGATGATAAAAATTTAAAAAAAATTGTTAAAAACCACAAGAAAATAAACAAACAAAAAAGATTATTTAAAAAAACAATTCTTAACTAAGTCTAGGGGAGGGGGGGGGAGGGTCCCTAGGTCCACCATGAAAAAGGTTAACAAACAGAGCACCATGGACCAAAAGTAAGTGCTCGGAAAAAGAAAAATTTGCAGAATAAAGATAGATTCGAAATTGAAGACTCATTGACTGTTTTATTTATTGATTGAAATACTTGAAACATCATATTTATATCACATTCCTTGCACACACTTAAAAATGGGGTAATAACAAAATATTTAAAAATCTATATTTCAACCATAAGACATTTAAAAGCCTTTCACCCTCTATAAGGGCGAGGGGTTGAGATTTTAAAACGGAAATTCACAGGAAAACATACAGAAAAATTGCGAGAATAACTCACTTATCAGCAACGGAGGATGTTGCTTCGAAATTTCGTTCAATGTCTCTCCTACATAAATCTGTGAGTCACAACGCCAACTGAAAATGATAATTTTTTAAAATGCAAATCAAGGATTTCGTCATTTTTGTCAGTTTAAGGTTATGATGATACTTTTTGGTAACTTTCGAAATTTGAAGTCACTTCTTGTTGTAATGTTTCTGCAAAATGACTCATTCTTAAAGATGAATAATAAAAACAGTTTTTTAAATATTCTGCTATTCTGCACGTGTATTCTAGCTTTAAACAAGGAAGTAAAGAACATGATGTTGATATATTAAAATTGTGAATTTTCTTTTTACAAGTTTGTACATTTTCTGTGATTCTGTGATCCAATCTTTATAAAATTTTAGAATTAAAAAAAATAATATATATACACATTTTTGCTTTTCTAAGCATTAGATTTTAATAAAAAAGGGTCGCGGATTTTTTTTGAGCCATAGGAGTAACTAAAAAAAATAAAAAGTTCAACAAATATTGAAAAAACACCATATCGGAGAGTTGCACAAAAAGTGTACAATTTTGCACCAGGCGCCGCTAATCACACTTTTTTTTTACTCACCCTGTATAACACTCGCATCAAACTGTCAATTTTATGAGCCTCATATTTTGCAATCTGGTGCCTTAAATCTTTCATATTTTAAACTGTAAATAATTTTAGAACAAATTGTCTTAAGTTTGAAAGATTTACGTAATGGTGCAAAAATGTAGGGATTAGAAAATAATAGTTTGTAGCGAGTTATCTATTTCTGTACATATGCAGGGATATCCCAAAAAGGACCAGCCTTTAAAGACGACCGAGTCGTGTTTGTTTAAATTAGGATGAGTGCTGATAGATTTTTAATAGAATGACAAAATTCAATCAGAAAATCAAAATTCTTGAAATTAGATGATAATAGCTTAAGCATTAATTATTATTAATCACTGTATTTCCACCAGTCAAAACAAAACCTTTCATAAGAATTTCTGATATGAAAAGGCAGGTTAACTTTCTGGTAGGATGAGTTATCTCCACTATCTATAAGGAAGTTCAGTGATACATCAGTGTTCGTTTAGTATCTGAGGAGGTTAAAAGCAGGGGCGGATACAGGGGGGGGGCGGGGGCCGGGGAACATTTTCCCCCCCCCTGAATTTGGAATTTTTTGGTCCTATTTTCAGAATAGCTTCCCAATAGCATGCTTAAGGGAACGAAACCCTAGTGCAAAACAGGAAAAATATTTGTCTTAATAAACTATAATGTGTGAAAAGTTAAAAATCTAGTTTTTTAGTCTTTAGTCATTAATTTTGACTCTTTTTGAGTCTTTTAATTCAAAAAAATGTTCGCCGGCGCCGCGATTTTTGTTCCTAATTATGAATTTTAAGTATCGATAGAAAGAAGCATATCTATGATCGGGTCGTGAAACACACATTGATATTTTAGAAAGGTTCAAATAAAAAATGTGTAGTGTATTTTTATAATATTCTCCTTTGAATCAGACTTATCCATTTTTAAATACATTTAAAGTACGATTTATGTTTTCAATTGATATTTCAATGTCTGTAAAGATACGATATCCAGGAGTGGAAACTTTTGAATAAACCCCAGTTAAGCTTTTAATTGACTTTAGTTTTCATAATGTTTGATGTTTCAGGATTACCTACGAAGGATGAGACTGTAAGGACGACCTGAAACTCTTAAAATTTGATAATATCATGGTCGAATTAAATCTTCTGTCCTAGATAAAGTTTATAAATAATGTATTTAACGCTCAGAATATATATAATATAGAATAACAGGTGGCACCTGTATTGGTATGACATTGTAAACATGTATTGGTACGTATTGTGTACATTTAGTACACTGTTCTTTGGGGGATTTATTTTGATCAGTTTGATTTCTCAGTATAAACAAGCCTGAGGTATTGTTCAGTGTTAAATTGTAACACGGATCAGACATACAAGATAAGATTTCATTCTTTTCCAAAAGATGAAAAGTTAAAAAAA